AATCTGTCCAAAAAGTTGGCTTTTCTTTGCCTATTTAAGGGCTGCCCTTTCCTCATTTAAAAGGGGGGGGGGGGGACTCCATCACACTTCCATACATCTTTAGAACTGCTTGAACACACAAAAACATAAAAAAAATTCAGCAGTTAACACGTGAAGAGTAAGCTGAAAATCATGAGTTTTTGGTTGAGTCTTAGAGTGCAAAATCTTTGAAAAACATATAAGAGTCTTAGAGTTTGATTCTTGAGTTCCTTCTCCTAAAGAATCACTACTGTTAGTAAGATTTCTGGGCTGTTTTAACACGGATTCACTGCTGGTTGTTGCTGTTTTTTCTGCTATTTCTGCCGTTGTTCCTGCCCACCTCACTATTATTTATTGTTTTGCTATCCAGGTAATCCTTTTAAGACTCGTAATGTATATCTTTTCAGCAATGGGAATAACTTAAACCTGCTGCACCATTTAAATGTGTTTGATGTGATGATAGTTTGACAACAAAAGAGCTTGGATGTTATTGTTATGTATCACGCATGTAATAACGTGAATATAGTCCTTTATAATACTTGAATATCGATTTGTAAGTTTTTGAATATGATATGTAAGTCGTTTATGGATTTTGAAGCATGTTTTCAAGCTATTGTATGCGAGTAACAATGCTAAGTATGCCATGAATGACTTTAGGCGTATAACACATAGCATGATTTCGTTTTAGTTGCTGAAATTTCACTGCCAATATATGCTTCTAGGAATGCAGTAATAATATCTTTGTGAATCTGGCCATTTTGCCGGATTTGCAAATGTGGCTATTTTTTTAAAGTGGGCGTTTATACAATTATGACTATGTAGTTAGTGGTCATGAATGCAAACTAAGTAAAGTGCTAAGATTGTATCAACTTTGAGCCTTATTGAATCAAATAAAAGCTGGCCCATTTACCTTTAAACAACAAAATTACCCCTTTCCTTCTCTATAGCAGTGGGCCAAATGAAATCCATTTCTTGGCCCATTTTTAATAATAATTCAGCTAGCCCATATTTTTAGTAATGCCAGATGGGCCAATAATATTCTAGTCCACTAGCTTCCCATTCTCTAATGAATCATTAAACTAACTCAGCACCTTGCAATAGCCAAATCTAAGGCTACTTTTTTTTTTTGTAAATTGATACGTCGGCCCAACTTTATTATATATAAATATTTGTTTAGTCAACTAACCTCGATAAAAATCAAGAAATTTTCTTTTACGAGATAACTTAGTCCCCTTTTTTATATAATTAATTTAAATGGTAGACAATTAATAGGCATGTTTTAACTTCACGGAATTGCTTGCGTAGCGTGATGTTTAACATTTAATAAATTAATTCAACAATCTCATGCCATATCCATTAGTTTTAGATAATTTTTTATTTAATGAATCCTTGGCTAAAATTGCGGATTCGCTTGCGTGGCGCGATAGCTAACCTTCCTTTTAATAATCTTCAAGAATTAATTTTTTCAAATGTAGTAATTTCTTTAAAAGTATTACAAATAATTGATTGTCATGATTTCGGATTCGCTTGCGAGGAGAAATTATGATAAGTTAATTAATTATTTTTTATTCGATCACGCATTCACTCGCGTAGCGTCGTTATGACAACATAATTTATCCAAAAAAATTATTTTTTCTTAATAAATCTAATAATCAAGAAATAAAAGCGGATAGTTAAAACATAAAAATTAAATAAAGCACAGTTTTTTCCAAAATTAATTCAAGCCAATTTTAGTCAATAAAAGCGACCGTGCTAGAACCACGGGACTCGGGGAATGCCTTACACCTACTCCCCGATCAACAGAATTCCTTACCCGAACTTTATTTTCGCGGACCGATAAAAATAGAGTCAAACCTTCTTTGAATAGGGATTCAAATAAATGGTGACTTGTAACACCCAAAAAATTAATTCCAAGTGGCAACTTTGAACAATAAAATAATCCCTATTTCAAAATTGTCATTTTAATTGGAAAAACTCTTTAACCCACTACAATCCATTACATCTATATTTTTTTTGGGGTAGAAAAAGGGGTGTGACAACAGCTATGCATCAGTTGTTCCAGTTCAGTTTGCAATGCACCCGAAACTCACCCGAGCCCTTCGTTTCGAACATGCACACAGTGTAATAACATTATAAAACTTGTTCGCTAACTCAAACCATTAAAACAAAATCAAATATCAAGTATCGATCATCAAAACTCAAAATTTTAACATTAAAACTCAGTTTTTCAATTTTTCACATAATGCGTCGAGATGCGCTCGGGTCTCCCTGGACCCCAAAACGTGCTTACAAGTCTAAAAATATCATATGAATCTACCGGAATCGTCAAAATACCTATTCGAGGTCGTTTGCTAAAATCGTTGACCGTGGTCAACCCAAACCTTATTTTAAGTCAAAAATCAATTTTTCTTTAAAATTTCACATAAAAACTTTTCGGAAAACAATATGGACCACGCACGCAAGTCATAAATCATCAAATAGAGCTATACGAGGTCTCGGAACACGTACATTAAAGCTAGTACTCAAAACGATCTATCGAGTCGTGATATTGCTTAAAGAAATGAATCTTGGTTGGTTAAAGAAATAAATCTGTTCCATCAAGTATTTAGAGGGACAAGTGTACACCACTCAGCCTAGAACCAGGGAAATGGAGAGATTATTAACGGGAGGAGCCAGGTCCCTCGAAGGTTCAAGTTTTGTGTATTAATAGTGTAAAAAGTATTGTATGATCTAATCATCATAATTTAATTACATATAAATTTTCTAATTAGTATTTGTTTATAATCTAGTATTTATTTATAATCTGATAATACGGTAATTAATCAACTTGTTATCACAAATTAAACTGTATTAATAATGTAAAAGATCTGTTTTACTGTTAGCGTCTATATTCAGTTAGAAGTGCGTGAATATGTGAGTGGTTGATCAAAGCAATTATGAACTCTTAATAGGTCGATGTATACAATGATGAATGCACCAATACTTCCTGTATTAGTTTCTTGTGTTTTTTGGGGGGCCATACTTACTTAAATTCATTTTGATCACTTTATTAATTACAATACATAAAATATAGAAGTGTGGACGTAGACAGTATCAAAGTTGGCATGCATCGAGTAGGCAGGACCAGTAGGCAGGACCCATTCCCGCTTGTCATGGGTGTGTTGTGGGTGGGGGGGGGGGTAGGGGAGGAGCTTCTTGTTTGACATCTGTTAAGGTGTATGACTATATAGTAGGGTTGATTAGGATGGTGACTAGTGGGGTTATTCACTAATTGTAGATTAATGAATGCCCGCACCGAAAGTAATTAACATGAGCGCCTACTTTTCTTTGCGTGAACCATCATTAATGGGTTTCTCTTCAAATCGACGTGCAAGAAACTAATAAGAAGGTAAAACAAAAGAAACTCTAATGCATGTTGTGGAATGTCCATAATTTCATTATTTTTTTAGTAGTCTGTTCTGAAAAAAAATGTTACCTTTTATATATGAAAATAATTTAATTTTAGATTTTTATTTTATTTTTAATGGTATATTACAGTCTAGGATTCTTATAGTATATTTAACATCATACAATTATTAAAATAATTTTTTTTGGTGTCTAATCAAATTACGATACATAGATAATGTAACTGCTAGATCAGCAAGTGAATGTCATGAACAAGTATGTATTATGCGGCACAAAGTAAACTTTATTATAATTAGAAAGATTCAAAAAGATGACATTTTCGACGCAATGGATGAGTCAAGACATATTAAAGAATATAGTACTGAATATTGTATGAAGTCTTAACCAACGCTTCCACTCACCTTTGAGGTTTACGAGAGCGATAGATGGGAATGTCAACTTTCTCCTCTTCTTTTCATGTTGAGGTAGATTTATTGTTTTCTTTTTTTTTAGAACAATTCTTATAATTAATTCACCACTACAAAAAATAGAATTGAACTTCGTCTCTTACTGTCGCTAAAGCAGCTAACAATTTTTTTTGATAATCTATGGTTAAGTAGGATTAGAGACGATTTTGCTGTTTAGCTGCAGAATTTGTCCATCGTTAATTCTTTTTTAGTAGTTTAGAACAATCCTTAGTGTGAATGCATGCTCACTCAACATCATTACATATGATGTGCGATAATTAATACTGAGGTAAATTTAACCTCAATTAATTTACATTGAAGGTCCATACACAACAAACCACGGAAATACTACCATACGAGATTAATGATGCATCTAATACAAGTAGAGTAATAAATATACGAATATTTCAACAACAACAAAATTAGACGGAACTGTTATAACTTAGAACTCGAATATGAAAAGAAAAAAAAAAGGTGCCTTCCGACTTGCATAGGTTCTTTGTAAGAAGAATGTGTTTTCTTCACGAAGTCTAAAATAGATAAAAAAAGATTTTTGATATATATTCTAACTAGTGGTTTCAAATATACTGAACATTGCTGGTGAAAATATAATTGTAGTTGAAAAACAAAATGAAGAAAATAAAATATGATCATTTTCTCATTATGAAATAGTGGGTTAGTGAAAGTTAAAGCCACATAAAAAAGACACCAACAAACATCAAGAATAGAATAGGAAGTTTAGGTGACGCACGCAATCATATCCGACTTTGATGAGATGAAGATTGGCATATTAAAACGGAAAGAAGAAAAATACAAAAGGAGTAAACTAAGCAGAAATGTTGTCTTTTTCCTACAAAACACCTTCCCTGGTTATCCAATCCCCCTAATTAACTTCAATATCTTTATCTTTTGTAGGATAACGCCCACTGTTCTAAGATAAAAGAAGAAGCTAATCTTTAGGTCAATTCACGCGTCATTCTTATATAATGTCAAACAAACCTCGCAACATGCACATCACCAACAAATAAATAACTGAAACCCTACTTTATTATCTCATAGTTCAGTATTAATTTCTTGGAAGCTTCATATTGCTGTTCTTCAAATACTCAACTTTTTTTTTTTGGTTTTCCACCTGGTGTCTGGTACCTGCATTGGAGCTTGACTATATCCGGTTTCGCGCCGAATAGGGCCACATTCAGGAGGAAGCGCTCCCTACCAACAATTTTTCCATACCCAGGGCTCGAACCTGAGACCTCTGGTTAAGAGAGGAGCAGCCCCATCCGATGCACCACATCCTTTAGTGGTCAAATACTCACCTGCTTCATATATATATATATAGAGCTAGAGACCTCAATAATATTCTTTCATGTTCACCATTATTCAATCTATATCAAATGGCATATTTCAACAAGATCGCAATTTCTCTCTTACTATTTTCACTCTTTCTTGTTCTTCCCATTCCTTGTTTAGCCAATTCAAGAATACTTGCTCTAGTTGAGCAACCACCTCTTGTTCTAAAATACCATAATGGTGCTCTCTTAAAGGGACATGTCACCGTTAACCTAATTTGGTATGGAAAATTCTCCTCTAATCAGGGCGCTATCATCGTGGATTTTATCCAATCTCTCAGCCTCAACCACACCCGCCGTCAAGTTCCCCCTTCCGTCGGTTCGTGGTGGCGCACCACCGAGGACTATAAGGGAGGTCCATCTGTCATTTCTCTAGGCAAACAAATTTTTGATCAGAAGTACTCACTGGGGAAATTGTTGAAAGATCCTCAACTTGCAAGTTTGGCTTCTAAGGCAACTCAATCCAACTCTATTGTCGTTGTTTTAACAGCAGCCGATGTTGCAGTCGAGGATTTCTGCATGAACAGGTACGATTGACGGGCTATCTAGTAACTTGAAATGCATAATATATATGTTGGATAATTTTGTCAACTTCAAATTCTAAATCCCTCTTTATATACTAGAATAACATGAATCTATATATATATATAAAAGAGGAAATACAAAAGATGACTTGGCACCTCTCTAAGACTAGAATTGCTATTTATCTTTTTTCTCATTTTTTTGGATTTTCTTTTGTCCAACAATCTTCATTCCTTTCAATGGACTTTTACAATTAATACACTTAATTTATGTACGTTACTATTTTCTTCCATTTACTCAATGTTTACCACCATCTTTAGTACCTAATCAATATTATAAATCTTTAAGACCGTTATCCTCATTTTCCCGAAAACGGATATGGCACCAAGACCTTTCATCATTTTTATTCATTCAATTTGTTTTATAAGTCAAAATTAATTACCATATTTATTACATCTAATTATGCCTCAAGAGTTACAAAAAAACTTCCATATCTATTTTTTTTTTAAAACATGCTCTTCACCTCCTTTATGACTAAATACCGTATCTCATCTTCTCTATATAATAATCTCATACCTCCATTATTTTGTGTAACCCTCACAAATTTTGAGTCTGGCTATAATCCATGAAATGTGAACAATACTATCACTCTCAACTAACATGGCATGAAGGTTTTTTTCTTCATTTTTGCCTTTTCACTTTTTTCTGTTAGATACTAATATTTTTCTTCTTTCTTGGTACATTGCATGTTATCAGCTAAATGAGTTTAAAAGATGGTAATTACAGTTATGCAGTATTTTATTACTTTCTTTTTTTTAGGTTTTTAATAAAATATTTTGTTGGTTGAAAAACAAGTTTGTTGTACCTCAAAAAAGTAGTTATTTGGGATATGAAGACACTGCTCTAACGGACATGTAATTGGCCATAAGTGACAAAGTTATCATTCCATTTTTGCAGCTACAACGTTCTCCCTTATTCTTAACCTACCTCTATTCAAATGAGTGAAATTGCAAAATAAAAGAATAAAAAAAAATCTTCAAAACTTGACATTATGCTATCACGAGAGTCAAATTCATAAGTTTGACACTTCTCTGAAACCAAACAATTATCTTTTTATTTTCCTTTTTGCTTTCTTATCTCATTATTTGGTTTTCCCCCCTCCCTTTCTATTAATGTAAAGTCATGAGTACTATAAAAATTTGTAGTAGATGAGGACAACAAAGAGTTGTTGTATAGGAGTTAATAATTCTCTCCTCCTTTCTGCAAATTAATTGGTTGTATCTCTTTAGTTGAGTTTTCTGACTCTACTTTTTTGGTTTCTATTAGTTTTCATATGCTTTTTTCTTTTTCTAAACTTTTACTGCTAGGTGTTTCTATTCCACAAAGACCTTACGACCTTTATAATTTCTCAAGAATTTACCGTCAAATATAAACAAAAATACGAAAACTTTGTTTCATGGTTGTCAAATAGGATTGGTCCCAGGAAAACAACGTAAATCTGTTACTATTGTAAGAACTCCCATGAAATAGTGTTCGTCCTTATTTTGCAACTAATAATGTAAAATAAATCTTTTTATCTTAAATGTTTTTGCCTGGATTTTTTATTTGATAAACTACTGCGCAAAAAAAAGATTTTTCCTTCTCCGTTTTTCGACTATTTTTTACTTTGAAACTTCTCTCTTCTGGAGAGTTATTTCTCTCTATTTATATGATGACTAACCAAAATGTTGACATAAACAAAAAATTTATTGCATATTTTGAGGGAAATGGATAGAAAATATAAAAATTTATAAGCATCAAGAAGAGAGTATTTTTTATTTGTTTTGGAGTAACCGTAGGAGAAAGAGCCTAAGGAGAAAGAGAGGAAAAAAAAACGACAAAGTAATTAATAAAGGAAGTATAGAGGGAAAAAAAGAACAGAAAATAAATTTAAGAAAAATAGAGGATAGAGAGACAGTCAATAATAGAGGTTTTTTAGAATGATTGTGAAATGAGAGGGACTAGGAAATGGAAAGAGAAAGTAAAAGAAGATCAATGGAAGAAAAAAACAAAAAAATAAAGTGATATAAAAACTTATTTCTTTTTTTTTTCTATTAATCTTCCCCACGCACAGAATATATGAAATATTTTCTTAATTTCTTTTAATTTTAAAGAATATTTGACAAACAAAATATAGTTTATCAAAGCTCTAATTCTACTGAAATATTTATATTGGGATTTTATCAATGTATGTAATTAATTTTTTTTATTCATCTTGCTGATTTTTTTCGTTTTTTCTATAAACTAATTATAAATTATTGTATTTTCACAACCGCGCAAAGCGCGGTAAATTCCTTAGTTATCCAATAAAGTCTGCAGTGGCGGCTCAACCCTAAAGCCACTAAAGCAGTGGCTTTAGGCCCCCAGAAAATTAAGGCCCTAAATTTTCTTAAATTATATATAGTATAAATAATTATGTATTTATTATTAGTGATAAATAAATTAGTTTTAATCATTTGTGTCAATTTTTAAATTTTTTACAAAGAATTGTAGATTATTAAATTTGAATTTACTTCCTATTTTTTGTTATTCTTTTTTGTTACCTCATGCATGGTGGATGGGCTCAACTTCTTAATTTTTGTCTAACCCACTTCAACTTGAACCGATTTTGTGTAAAACTATGATTTTGTAAAATCTTCTTCTATTCTTTAAGCGCTTTTTAGACAATTTTTATATCTTAAGCTAATAAAATTATTAAAGGATTAGATATGAAAAAACATTTCTTAACCTCGAATGTCTTTTGAGGACTCTTTTTAAATTTTCGCTTTAGGCCACAGGTAGTGTTGAGACGCCTCTGAAAGTCTGCCCTCCACGTTATACTATTTTTTTTATTAGCCTTTTTAAAAAAGAATAGTGTATTGTACTATATTTTTATATTTGAAGACAATTTAACTTTGAACTTTCTATTTTAATGTTAATGGCTTGCTTTCATAGCCACAAAAATCTGAGGGCATATTTAATTATAAGCTCCAAGAATCGACATGCCCAATTAAACTACTTCACATAAATAGAAATTACGAGAGTAATTTTTTGTTTTTATGGTAAATAGATTTATTATCAAGCTGAAAGAATTACAGCATAAAACCTGGTTTTGTAGACAAGTCCTAGGAACAACAGACTCATCTATGCTTCTAAACTATGGTCAAATTAGACAGCTTACGCGGGATAGAAATTCAAACACTTAAGCTTCACTACTAGGTTAAAACTCTGAAATGTTCTGTTCAGGTGCGGCATGCACGGATGGACTCGAGGGAAGAAGGGAAGCAAGTTTGCATACGCTTGGGTGGGTAACTCGGCAAGGCAATGTCCGGGTCAATGTGCATGGCCATTCTATAAGCCAATCGTCGGACCACAAACGCCGCCTTTGGTTGCTCCAAATGGCGATGTTGGAGTGGACGGCATGGTGATCAACCTAGCAACAATATTAGCGGGTACTGTAACGAACCCGTTTGATGGCGGGTATTACCAGGGCCCAGCTAACGCACCATTAGAAGCTGTGTCTGCTTGCACCGGAATATTTGGGTCGGGCGCTTTCCCCGGGTTCCCTGGTGACACGTTGGTTGATAAAACAACTGGTGCTAGCTACAATGCGGACGGGGTGCATGGTAGAAAATATTTGCTTCCGGCTATGTGGGACCCAAAGACCTCCACTTGCAAAACACTAGTGTGAATTATTGATACATTTTGATATGAAATTTCAAATTTTTTTTGTTCGTTCGATTGAATTTGCGTGAATAGCCTGTATTTATGAAAGAACAGACCTCACAGATCATATATAGAGAAATAAAATGGATTCTACAAAATTCTTTATTGCGTGTATGTTCTCCTTTCTGAAAAATAATAAAGTTGATTTAAAGATCTCCTATGTTTTTCTATAACGTATTGTACACTGCATATTGTTGAAATTTTGTTACAATAATATGGTTGGCAAGATGATCTTTTCATATTCAAAGTACCAAACTCTTGATCCCGTCATGATTGGTTTCTGAAACACAATTAAGTTAGACAAACTTGAAAAAAGTAATCTGAATCCGTTATTAATATGATGCGAAACTGCTTGCCAACGCCCAACGGTAGCAAACTTACTTTCTCAATGATACTTTCCCTCTCTTCCATCTCTCTTTAATTTACTTTCTTTTTCAGTTCTATTTTTCATAGAATTTTATCTTAGTATATTTTGAAAAAAAAATTAATTTAAACTTGTCATTTTACCTCAATGGTATGCCTAAAAAAATGTATTTATAACATATTTAAAACCATAATTTTTGTTGCGCTCGTAATTACACGTCAATGAAATTTTAACTGATTATATTTTTAATTGATTATACTGGTAAAATATAGCTTCCTGAAGCGGTGTCCGTCTTTTCTTTCTTTCTTGAAAACCTTGCCTAGTCAAACGTTGATAGAATATTTATATACATTTATCTACTTTTAGATGGGTAATATTGATTGATATTTTTACTTGATATTTAATATATTTGTAATAACTAAACTGTCACAATCCAAAAATTCAACTAGTTGGGATGACACCTAATCCAACCCGCCAGGTAAGCCAATTAACAATAACTCAATCCCAATGAAATTTAGTGACATAATAAATAAAAGAAAATATCTGAATCTTATATATTTTCCAATGGCTGGTAGTACAAATCATGAGCTTCTAAGAATAGAATTTACCAAGCTGGTATGAAATAAATACATCATCTGTTCGAAATGTACATAAACAGATTTTTATGAATCTAAGGCTACCATGAACAAGAGGCAGCTACTACCGGAATGCAGGTACGTCTTCAATACCAGCTCCTATCGATCACAACAACATCAGCAGCCAACATCTGCACGCAAAGTGTAGAAGTGTAGTATGATTACAGACCCCACGTACTCAATAATTAACAAACCAAACCTTAGGTTGAAAGTAGTGACGGGCTGGAACAAAGGTCGGTCCAACACCAATAGCTAACAACAGTTCATAACAACGTAAATCAAGTAATAAAGGGAGTAACTCAGAGGTAAAATGCTCAGCTTATTCATAGTTCTCGAAAATAGTTCCGCTTTTCAAGTATATCAGTGAAAACCCAAGTCTTTTACCGAAAATTGCCATAAATGTGAGTAAGTTTGAAGAATGTAATTTTTCCTAAAAAACTTTCAACAGGTAAATCTTTCATTTTCAAATGGCATGAGGAAAGTACATCTCTATGCCTACATGTCAATGTATGCCTGCCAACTGTAATACCATGCAATGATAAAAAACCATATGCATACTCTCAGAGTATCAATTCACTCAGTCCTCCCAGTCACTCAGTTCTCACAGCCACTCAGTCCTCATAGTCACTCATTCCTCTCAGTCGCTCAGCACTCGACACTCGGCACTCGGCACTCACACTCAGTAGGTACCCGCGCTCACTAGGGGTGTGTACAGACTCCAGAGGGGCTCCTTCAGCCCAAGCACTATAACAAGTCATTTATGGCATAAATCAATAAAACATGCTGCGGCGTACAACCCGATCCCATAAACATCCTCACCATCAGGACCTCGACCTCACTCAGTCATCAATCTCTCTCCAGCCTCTCGGGCCCTCAATGTCATGAAAAATCAGCCTAAAAATAATGATGTGATGTATCAATAAATGGTAACCGAGACTTAGATATGATATATGAATGCGTTTGACTAAGTATGCAAATGCAACGCAAGAAGATAACTCAACAGCAGAACTGACCTCGGCGGGTCTCAGTAGAATAAGCATGTAGGCTAGACATGATTTCTAACATGGGTCACAACTCAATAGCTCTAGTACGTAGAGATTTCATGGCTACAGAAAAGATTAGGTAACTACACAGTGCCGCAGAAATAACAAAGTCACAATTCACACGGCATATGCCCACACGCCCGTCACCTAGCATGTGCGTTACTTCAACACCAAACACATAACACATAACTCGGGGTTTCATACCCTTATCAAGTTTAGAAGTGTTACTTACCTCGAACAAGCCAAATCCAATACCGAGCAAGCCAAATCTAATGCCCGCGCTTGGAACCCAAAAAAACTTACAAAATCCGACAACCCATTCAATTACGAGTCCAACCATACTAGTTTCACTCAAATCCGACACCGATTCGGTGCTTAAAATTCAAAAATTCACATTATAAAACTTGAGGCTAAAACCCCATTTTCTCTTTTGGAACCCTCAATCAAATGCCGAAAATGAAGATAGATTGATGATGTAAAATCAAAAATGAGTAGAGAACACTTACCCAATCCACATGGTGAAAATTGCTTCATGAATCGCCTCAATCCGAGCTCCATAGCTCTAAAAATGCTAAAATGGCCGAAACTTCCAAAATAGAGTACTTTATAACACTGTTCCAGCAACATCCTACGCGAACGCGGTGAAAGCCTCGCGTTCGCGAAGCACAGACCCACACGACCTCATTATACTACGCGTTCGCGGAAAAATCCTTGCGAACGTGATGAAACACACTACCAAACTTCTGCGATCGTGGAAAACTCACTGCGAACGTGATGAAGAACCAATACAGACTGACCAGCCCCCGCTCAACACTATGCGAACGCATAGACATGGACGCGGACGCGAAGACTAGAATCTTCAACCCAGTGCGAATGCGACCTCAAAAGCGCGAACGCGAAGAACAAATAGCTCCACTGACCAAAACACCTTTCCTGATCGCGACCAAGCCTTCGCGATCGCGAAGAACGCTAGAAGCAACAGGTAACAGCAGAAAACCAGTAATACAAAACCATTTGAAATGATTCGAACTACGTCCGAAATTCACCCGAGCCCCTCGGGACACGTCCAAATATACCAACAAGTCCCATAACATAATACGTACCTACTCGAGGCCTCAAATCACACAAAACAAAATCGAAACGACGAATCGAACCTTAATTAAAACTTGATGAACTTTGAACTTTTCAACATTCATAAATCGTGCCGAAACATAGCAAACCAACCTGGAATGAACCCAAATTTTGCATACAAGTCCCAAATGACATAGCGAAGCCATTTCAATTCCCAGAACCGCAATCCGAATCCGATATCAAAAAGTCCACTCCCGGTCAAACTTTCAAAAAAATTCATCTTTCGCCATTTCAAGCCAAATTCAAATACGGACCTCCAAATCACAATTCAGGCACGCTCCTAAGTCCAAAAGCACCCAACGGAGCTAACGGAACCATCAAAACTCCAATCCAAGGTCAAATACTAAAAAGTCAAACTTGGTCAACTCTTTCAATTTAAAGCTTCCTAGTTGAGGATCATTCTTCCAAATCAATTCCGAATAACCTGAAAACCAAAACCGACGGTCAAAAAAGTCGTAATGCATCATACGGAGCTATTCATGCACGTAAACTACCAAGCGAAGCGCAGATCCTCAAAACGACCGATCGGCTCATTACATCCTCCCCCTCTTAAACATACGTTCGTCCTCGAACGTGCTCAGAGTTGTTGTTAAGCCGTCAGATCACCGTGTAACCTTACCATGCACATACCCAGGGGTGATCTCACATCATTCTAATCCATATAAGCCTGACGACACAACCTTATTGAAGATCCTTAGTTCAACCTTAGCCCATAAACCTTATAACCAAATTCCCAACATCCAAAATTTCCTACAAGACCCGAACTTTGCAAGCTACATACTATATAAGTCTGAACCAGCTGTATCAAGCCATAACCATAACCCAAGATGCAATCACAGGATACACCACGTAACTCAACTACCCATAGCAAGATTTTCGATCACAGTAGCTGCTCAAAACAACCCAATACCGGTGATAAACCTCACATCAAACAAAACCTCGTTCTAAAGCCTTTGTACACTGCAGACGATGAAAGAAACACACAGAAACTCATAACTATTCATCAAATCAACATGTCATGGAACTTCCTCTCATTCGACAAGAATAATAGCAAATTTCTAACCCGATCATCGTCATTATCCCTTTCAAATATACCGCAATCGAATTCGATAGCACCCATTCTAGATTCGACGACCTCATCTTATCAAATACAAGCTACTCTACTGACACGCCACACCAATAATACACAGAGCCACAAACTGTGCAATCCTTGCACCAATACGCAACAATTCAAATGTACTCAATCACGAAAACTGACTCAAATAAGAGAACCATCCCGCAGGCTCAATAAATACCACCACAACGCAATGCTAAGAACCCATCACACACCGTATAACCAAAACAAACGAATCAATCACGAAGGATCATATCCCGACATACCCCAACTACAATGCGTGACGCCATCCAAACACTGGTCCATATGAATTACCTCCAGCCAAAATGCTAAAAATCAATGACCACACACAATTCGACATCCAATACCCAAGGTGCATGACCATAACCATGGAGGAGCAAATAACACAATACCACAGGCCTGAATGAACATCAGTGAATTCGCAATCGGCCATTCAACACCCTAATACCCATCTCGCTCAAGTTTCGCTGTAGGGCCCAAATAGAACTACGCCATGTGTGCACATAACCAATGGATCACAACTCCTCGTAGCTTAGAAGGGTAACTCATAGAACATATCAAAACACGAATAAGCTCAACTCTGACCGAATGGCACATCCCTCAATAACAGTAGTACGGAGCCAACCAATCCTACCCGGTGTAGAATACGCATCCTCATTGGACCTACCAATGGGCCCCAAATCAACTCTGGTCATCCACAAATATATAAATAACCCCGCAAACGTCCACAACGACCTAACCATAACACATACCATCATCTGACTAGCTTTGACCATATTTTAACAGTCCACAACCACAAAATAATTTGCTCTTGAGAACTCCCAGTCTCTAAATTCATAGAACAC